ATAGAAGGAGACAGAGGGGAGATAAGGACAATAGATGTTTGATAGGAAAGAAGGAGCAAACCACACCAGAGCACCCGCCAACCACCCACCCAAGCTGAGAGGAATACAACATCTCGGTAGTAAGTAAGACTGAGATACTTGAATAGAAATCTCCTCACTTGGGAATCGAACTCTGGTCTCCTGTGTGCCATAACGTTACAAAGCGCCTGTTACACCATAGACACCAGTGCATGCACCTTTAAAAGGACAGAAACGAAAGAAGTCTGAGAAGAGGGCAAAGCCATAAAAAGTCTCATCATTGAGTTGCCGTAATTATGGTCAAACTCTGGCATGATAAAGGATAGAATTACACCCTGTATTACCGTAAACATATGGGCTGAAGAACTACACACAGTGTCTCATCTCTGGAATTGGGGGAATGGGGATTCCAAACATAACAAAATCAACGTCCAAGTACAAAACAATGTAGGTCAAATTTTGTCTCACATGTTACAGTACACAATATTCCAACCATTGAATGTCTGGGAAAAAAAAACCCAAAACAGCAACAACCAACAAACAAACCACAAAAAACCCAACAAAACAATATAATAAAATGAGAGCTGGAATTCAAAGTCTGCATATAATAATACATTTCGAAAATGGAACTTTTAATAATAGGATGCAAAAGCACTTCATGTACTCTCGCTCCCTGTCTCACTCTTTTAACCCTATCCGTACGCCTTGGGGTCATTTTGTACCCCCTGGGGTTGTATTCTTCACATTAGAATACTTCTAGTACGAAGATCTCTTTAAAACTTTCAGTAATTCTCAAAAAATCATTTTGACAGACTGCTATGCAAAGTGTACAGATCGGATTAACGAGTAAATTTCCTCTTTGGAAAGTGATGGCACAGAGTTCCCCACGTCGCATGGATATAATAATAAAACACAACGTACGGATAGGGTTAACATGGCATTTTTTGGCTATTACTATAATATTGCATTTCTTCTAAAGGCGTAATGTTCTGACGCTCAACACTGTCTGTGCAGTGATTTTATCACATTCTCTCAGTTTATAACGAGGTTCATATTGAGCAGGAGATTTTTTTGTCCCCAAGACTTTTCAAGACCAGATTTATTTTTTCCAAGACAAATAATGTGTCATTTCGAAAGAAAATGTTTTCGTTCAGCAGACAAAAATACATGATGGTACACTTCTTAAGAGGTTGTTGTTTTTTTTAGTAGAGGATTTACGGCGCTCGCAACTGCATAAGGTCATATGAGCGCCAGAAGATTAGAAGTGTTACAAGAGAGTAACAAACATAAAAAAGAAGAATGGGAGATAAGGACGATAGATGTTTCATAGGAAAGAAGAAGTAAACCACACCACAGCACATGCCAACCACCCACCCTTAAGAGTTTGCAGCCTGATTAAGCCAGCATGTGGGTGGTTGGTGGGTGCTCTGGTGTGGTTTGCTCCTTCTTTCCTATCAAACATCTGTCGTCTTTATCTCCCCTCCTCCTTTTTTGTGTTTGTTACTCACTTGTAACACCTCTAATCTTCGGCACTTATATGACCTTATTGTGTTGCAAGTGCCGTAAAACTCTTACTAAAACTAAACTAAAAGCCAGTATGACCAGATATTTTGTCACTACCTTATTCAGAATGTGCAAAGTCGAGGCGTTCTACATTTCCGAGAAAATATTTTTACAAAAGATCTATTTTAAAATGTATTTTTCCAAGACTTTTCCATGAATATTGTCAATTTCCCAAAATTCCAAGTTTTCCATGTCTTGGAAAATAAAACAAAATTCCAAGAGTTTTCCTGTTTTCCAACCCTGTTATAATGATTGTGTCAAGTAATCTGCCATGGGCTGATAAGACGCCTTTGTTTAAATCACAGCAGGTTTTTTTTGTCAGCTTAACCATTGAAAAATAAGAGTGCTTCCAAAATTTGAATTCCAATTCAAAAACTAGTCACAGTTACACCTTGATTTTTTTTCCCCACACAATTAGGATAACTGATCACGCTTTCGATTTAGCAAATAAAAACTGTTGACGCCAAATCAAAAAGAAAGGCATTTTGTCAGCTTACAGCATTAATGTGAAGACATGGTTTTCCAAGTATAACATCTGCACACAATTCTTTTTTTTTGTTTTATCAGAGGTTTTACGGCGCTGGCAACTGCATAAGGTCATATGAGCGCCAAGGGCTAGATGTCAACAGAGAAGTCCTTACACTTACAGGGAATCAGACTTACTCTACTCACCTCTCCAGCCTCAACAGCACAAAGTCTGCTTCGACCATCAAGGCACCCCGGAAATAGCGGGTCACAAGAGGGTGACAAACATACAAAAGGAGAAGAGGAAAAAATGACAATAGTATGGATTAGGAAAGAAAAAGCAGCAGTTCCCTGTTGCAGTTCAGGCACAATTATGAGGATAACATTGATGAATCAGCCCATTTACAATTCTACTGTGCATAAGAACAGGTTAATGTCCCCCCCCCCCCCCCATTGGGAATGCCCTAAAGACACTTCAGTCAGTGGCATTGCCCTGGGGGGGCTGCACATTATTCTTTTTGCTTTTACTTTAAGTTCTGCAGTGAGTCACTCTTTCTTTTTTTCAAAAAGGGTTTTACCTGGTATTAGCAAAACAATGGTTTCGTAGGAGTGCCAAAGATTAGAGGTGTGACAAGAATGTAACAAAGACAAATAAAAGAAGGAAGAGAGATAAGGCCGACATATGTTTGATACTTAACTACTGATAGAGAAGAAAGAGCAAACCCCACCAGAGCGCCCGCCAACGACCTACCTCACCCACTTTTTCTGACTGCAAGTTGATCAAGAAACAGCACAGAGACAAAATTAAAAATTAGAACTTCATATATGTATCTTTTAAAAAAGAGTCAAAATGCAAAACTGGAAAAACAAAACATTACAAATACTGTTAAGATTATAATGACCCGGTATTGTCAAATCAAACAACATATCAAATGTGTTACTAAAACACAACCAAAACTTCTAAAAACGTTATGGTACTTTTTAAAATGCAATCCAATAAAGACTCACAACAATAAGTAGAAAATACCCTGCTCAGAAAATGCTTTCACAAAACATATTATGTTGGATCCATATATCCATGCACAAATGTAGCAGGAAGAGGTCAAACAAAAGAATAAAGATATCTCTCTCTGTATAATAATATAACAAACAAACATACCTAAAATCATAATCTGACTTTGAGAAAAATTTAAATAAGCACTTCGTTGATTATGTTTGATGCTGTGGTATAAACATTATGCCCTACCAGACACTAATAGGCCTATTTGAAGACGAATGGCGTGGCCTTGCGGAAAAACACAGGATGGAAAGCAGACACAATGCATCTGGACTGAATTTAAATACACTGTACAAAGAACTTTATAGTTTTAGTTTTAGTAAGAGTTTTACGGCACTTGCAACACAATAAGGTCATATAAGTGCCGAAGAATAGATTATGCGTTACAAGAGATTAACAAACACAAAAAAGAAGGAGGTGAGATAGGGACGACAGATGTTTGATAGGAAAGAAGGAGCAGACCACACCACAGCATCCGCCAACCGCCCACACAAAGAACTCTGTTCAAGGAAATCTCATTACAGTATTTTTCCTACAAAATGAAAATTTCTGCAATGCCCAAAAGCATCCTGGATGGAAAGAAGGTGGGACTTTGACAAATAAGAAACAAAATCAAAGTTTTTGCTAATGAGTCACGGCGTGGTGGGATCAAGCACTGGTCAATTTTTGGGCATATGGGATTATTTGTATCATTCTAAAGCTTGTTCATGTGCCTTCCTTTTGGTGAAAAAATATCCATCTATCAGGGTTGCTTGGTTCTAGAGGTAAAATTAGCAAGAAAATGGCCGCCTAACTTTGATAACTTCCATATCCTGAGAGTCTTTGGAAACTAAAAATTTTCATTTTTTATGCTTTTAATCAATGTTTTTGAGTAAAATCTACACAGAAATGTGTTTTAAAATGGATGTAAAAGGTGTCGAGCCAAAAAAAGAAAATTTGAAAAAAAATGCACTTTGGCCAAAAAAAGCAGATTTCTATGATTGATTTTATTATTTTGACAAGCGCCTGATTTCCCCACGATGTCTCAATATATATATATATATCTCCTTTGCCCCATTTAGTTTTAATATGGCTTTACGGCGCTTGCAACTGCGTAAGGTCATATGAGCGCAAAGGGGTGGATGTCAACAGAGAAGTCTAAACGGGGAATCAAACTTACTCTGCTCATCCTTCTAGCCTCAACAGCACAAATTCTGCTTTGACTATCAAGGCACCCCGGAAATAGCAGTTCACAAGAGAGTGACAAATATACAAAAGAAGTAGAGGAAAATGCTGATAGTAAGGATGAAGAAACAAAAAGCAGCAAAACCCCTATGTTGTTCCAACAAAGTATGAGCATGACATTGATAAATCAGCCCATTTACAATTCTACTGTGGTACTATGCCTAAGAACATGTTAATATCCCCCCCTTTCGGAACGGGCTAAAGACACCTTCATTCAGTAGCACTGCTCGGGGCGGGGGCATTAAATGTTCACCGTGTACTTGCTAGGCTGTCTTTAATAAGCAGGATACTTGCATGTGTATGATTCAAGCACATAACACAGATAAAATAAAATATAAATGCAACAATTTCATTAAATAAATTATAAATAATGTTTTTGCATTTCCTAAAGAATCTGCATTTTATATTCTCAATCTATTGTCTTGGATAAAATATGTGGGGTGAAGGAAGGGAAAAGTGTCTATTTTCCTAACTGATTCAGCATCAATTAAGCTCTAAGAACAGACATAACATGGCAGATCCATGCAAGAAGTACTGCAAGTACAGTGTGTCATAGTTTTTGTTTTTAAAGTATGAGTTTTACGACACTTGCAACACAATAAGGTCATATATATAAGTGCCAAAGATTAGATGTGTTACAAGAGAGTAACAAACACAAAATAGAAGGAGCGGAGATAAGGACGATAGATTTTATATAGGAAAGAAGAAGAAAACCACACCAGAGCTCCCGCCAACCACCCACCATGACACGATGTATACATGATACGCTGTACGGACAGTGACACATTGTATACATGATGACAGGCTGTGTAAGCATGAAACACAGTGTGGACATCATGATGCACTGTAGATATGACATACTGCAGACACAAAACGCTGTAGAAACAATACACCTTAGACATGCATGCCAAAACACAATCCTACAGATTCTTCCAGGGTGATACAGCATATTAGCCCATGATGCATATGATGCACATAATATTATATATTGAAAGAAATGGTCATGTCATAAAAAAAGTGTTCAATTGAGCAGAGTGTGCTTCACACAATGTAAATTCAAGAAGAAACTACTGTACTCTCTACTGGAACCTCAGTATTGGGACCTTGATTATTTTCCGAAATTACATCACAATCGCTGCTCGTTAATGATGATACTATATTAAATTGTTGCATCATTCCATCCAGGAAATTCATGTGACAACGCCCCTGCACCAAACATTCCAGTCTTTGTCTAAATTCTTTTTGATCTTCCAATTTGCATCCAAGTATCATTCCTTGAAATTTGTAGTCGATAAGTCCAGGTTTCACCTGGTCAGACACACAAGCGTTGAGGAAAGATTCTGCCTTTTTCCGGTAGCCCTGTTCCTCCGGGTCGCCTAAAGCACACTGGTGTTCCAAACCAGTCACAAGTGAGTCCACTTTTGTGAAAGAAGACTGTTGCTCCGCAGTACGGATGACACGGATGTTGATCTGGACACTTTGACACCTTGCTCGAAGTTGATCGATGCTACTGTGGAGCTCCTGAGTGGCATCTGTGAACGACAAATAACGAGCAAAATCAACCCTATCCGTATGCCATGTTTTACTATCGTATCCATAAGACGTGGGGAACTTTGTACCGCCACTTTCCAAAGAGGAAATTTACTCTTTAATCCGATCCATTCGCTTTGAACTAGAAGTATTCTAAAATGTGAAGAATACAACCCTGGGGGTAGGGCGTAGGAATAGGGTTAAGCATGGCAGTAAACAAAATACCATAAAAATGCCCATTACTTGGACAAATGCAGCAGAGTCCCCTGACAGTTTTCCAGGTTTACAACAAGAATTGTCTTCCTTAAGTCTTAAGGTCTCTCTGGAAAAGAAACATAAAAAAAACTCCTGTACCCTAAGAAAAGGGGATAAAACACTGCATGAACTAAAAACACACACAAAAAAAGTTTAAGAAAACATCTAGACATGAAAAAAATATGAAGTAATTGTAAAATATTAACATATATATAAGTTTCATCTTTAAAAAATAGTTGTTCATGCTTTAATATCTCTATCCCCATTGTCTGAACAGACTATGATGGGATGGCCCACTCATGGCGCACCAGCAGTGGAATTTTAGTTGCGGGGTTTTAGGTGTGTCCTTGTGCATATATGGCAATTATCATTTAATGCACCTGAAAATGCATTTCTGCTCTTGAGATTCAAAAACTAACGGACATCGTATCTTGTCATGTCTGGTCATTTCAAAAGACGCACTGAAGTCGGCAATGCTAAATTGTCAATTTTTTTGGACAAGTGTGGATGAAAAAAATCAATATGAAAAAAAACGGGATGACAAAAATTGTCCAACTTTTGGAACATAAATAACACAACATAGATGGTATACAAAATGTACTTGCAAAACTGGGTATCTGCACAGATTATAAAGAGATGAATTTCGGCATCTTAATCCACATTGCACGCAATCGCAATTTTCTGAGAATTATTTTGAGACGTTGCACATGTAATTGCTTCACCTACAATTTTATGTGTCTAATACAATCATAAATATCATACATTCACAAAAATTTATACAAATTTAGGGTACAAGGTTTCTCAAAGCAGAAGTACAAAACGATTTAGTTCCAGATCCAAAATGTAATACATGAATTGTATCTGTTACACTCAAGAAATTCCTTACTAACTTTTCTTAAAAGTATCTAGGTTTTATAAGTTGACGAGGGGATATAGCTTGTGGTAATTGGGTTTTTAGAATAATTTTTAGCTTTCCAGTGACACTGAATCAGCACCAGACTTTTCAAGCTTTTCTTTCCATTTCTATGACCCTTTGCAAAGACTGCCCACGTTTTTTATTTCTTTATGAGTATGAGTGTCCCCACATATTTCTGACACAAAAACTGAGAATGAATGTATCAGCTGTATCTGTTTATATACCATACAAGAAGTTTATCTCTACCCATGTATTTCCATAGCTTGGGATTTGTAAAAAAAAACATACTTAATTGTATGCAGGTTGCAACCAGAAATGGCATAATTCACGAACAAACATAAAGTGCATTTCACTTGTGTGTTCCATAGTAAAGTAAGAAGCAAAACTTTGTCAAAAAATGCATATGTGCATCTTTCTTCTCTTTTAGCTTGACTAATAAATATTACTATTCACTACCTACACAGATTTAAGATTTCTAAAGGTTAAACTGTCCCCGTAGGATCATGCGATTGTGCGGCCGCGTTTTTTCGCGCAATTCTGCAACATTTGCATAATTTTGGATTCCCCGCGTTTTTTCACGTCGTTTTCCTTTTTTTCCACAAAATAATTAATTAACGCCTCGCTATGTGTCTAAAGGGAAGTAATCACCCCAATAAGTCTCATTTGAGTGAAAAGTTGGTTATTTCCCTTGTTGGAAGATCTTGGTAATGGGTTGGGATTTTGTTCCTTTTCAATCCATCTAAAGTTGTTCTGAAGTCTGCAGATGTTTCCTGTTTGACAGGTGTCCCTGGTATTAGTAATGTGTCAGCATCAGAGGTCCAGATGTCCTTTTTTTTTTCTTTTTTTTTTTCTTCCCTCTAGATAGATCTAGATCTACAGCTGAAAGTTACAGAGATTATATTTTTTGGTTGTTTTTATCTGACTGATGTGTATTGTTTTCTTTACAAATACACAACATATTATTGATACTGATACGTTCCGTTTTCAATTTTTGTGTACATAAAACATGAACATATTCTTGTTGAAAAAGTACAAAATATGTCGCGAATGGTGTTATGGTAACTTGCATAATTTTGCTTTTTTTGTGCATAATTTGGCCATCTAAATTTGCATAATTCTACGGGGACAGGTTAAAGACATGTCAAGCCATTCTTGAAAAAAAAATAGTTGATTCAAACGAATGCAACTGAAAATAGGACAAATTGGGTTCGGTACTCTACAAACACTTATCTGGAACAAAAACTAAGGCGCCGAAAATAACTATTCCAAAGAAGGATAAATCTCGAAACATTAAGCTTTTAGTGCATCAGTGTAATGGTTCGATGTGTGGGATGGGGAAGAAGTTATTTTTTTTGTTCTAAAAGTTGACAAAAATGCGAACCTCTTAACCGACACCAGTAAAGTCGTTTCAAGGCTAATTAACCCCATGACCCTACCCGGGGTCCAGCGGGCTGCTGAGTCACGCTAACTAGAAGTTACAGAATCAGGCAAAAAGTAACACTGTGCACTGATCAGCCCTTATTCTATTGTTATCTTCTTCTTTGTCCTTGAGGTTTGATTTTCTTCTTCATCGTAAAGATATTTATTATATAACCATAACATGTGTCACGACGCGGTGGAATCAGGGGCTCGTCAATTTTCGGGCATATATATTATGAAGCTATTGGTATAATGGCCACCAAAGTTTGGTGACTTCGAAAGCTGTGCGGTCTTGGAAAATACAACAAGGCGCACGAAATCAGCCGAAATCGCGCCTTTTAATTGTACCACCACTCCTGCTGTCCCGCGGTGATTTATCACCTCGCCCGGTACCTGTTGACCTTTATTATTGGGGTCATTTGACCCCGTCGCACCGTTATAAACTGGGGTGCGTTCTTGATAAAATCGTCTCATTTACTGTCTAAATTACAGTGGTGCCGTAAGACCCACCAAGTAGTTTTAATTTATAGACTTTAGCAACACCATTTCTCAACCTTTAAAAGAAAGTCCCAGTCTTTGACGTGTTGTACCAAGTGTTCTACACGTGTCTGTTTGCTGCCTGTGTAACACACTTTTCTTATTTCAAACTGAGGATAAATAATCATTTATTACAACAAAACGGTGCATTGAATTTTTGGGGGGATTCGATTTGTGAGTTCATTAATAAATCATGTTTTGAGTGTATAAATTTCAGTACTACCGCAGTTGTGGTTGTTAAGCTACATCGGATTATTATGTTGGGCCGCGAATTTACTAACATTATTGACGTATACAACAAAGATCTTAAAATGGAGTACACCCCTGAAAGTCATGTATCCGCTTTAAACTGTCTGTGTAGAGTGTGCAGAAGACTGAACATTACAGGAAAGCAGAGAAAATCCTTTAAAAAGCCGTATTTGTGTTCGGAAATAGCCAGTGACCTCTTCCTCGTGTTTGGGTTGAGTATCAAAGATGACACTAGTGACAAACACTCCAAATTTGTGTGTTTGAAATGCTATAAAACAATCCATGACGCTAAACGTCAAAATAGTGCAGTGCCCCTACAAACACTAAGAAACACTTTTGACAGCAGTCAACACATCTGGTGTGCTTACAATGAAAACTGTGGTGATGCAAAAACGAGCACAGTCTGTGAACAAAAAAGGCTACTCTCTCTTGGCTATGCAACAGTAAAGCCCCGTGACCCCCAGTCTCACTCCAGCAGGCATGAAAAATACACACACCAAGCTAGTCCTAGCACCAACTATTCTGAGACAGACACAACCACAAAGAGTACATGTACCCGTGCTCTCAGCACAGACTCAACACAACAAAACGACCCACACACAAGTACAAGTCAGACTTTCCACCCCCACCCTCAGTCTGTTGTCCCAGTCAGTGACCAACACGTAGGTGTACAACATGCAGACACAATGGTTCAGGACAGTCACATCGTAGCTCACACCGACACAATCAGTCAGAGCACATCGGTCACAAATTCTCCCATACCGCATGATAGCAGTTGTGAGCACAGCGTAAGCACAGTCAGTGCATCATTCACACCCACTAAAGGCCAAACATTTTCTGCGACTCCCTTGGCTTCATCAACTCCAGCCCAGATACATGAAACAGTTAGGCCTACCCAAGACAGCACAACATCTCCCATGATCAAAGACATAGAAACCATCAGCCATGCAATGAGTAAGACAGAGACGCATCCACTCACTAAAAAAGAAGAACAATCAACAACAAGACTTATAAAGAGAAAGCACTACAGCGATCCAAAGGGGAAGGTGTTAAAATGTAAGACAAAGGGGCAGCCATTAGTTTTTCACTAAATCGTCGTGCCAAGGAAGCCGACAACCAGTGCTAGGACTCCAACAAAGAAGAAAAGAGCACAGTTGGTAAATAAGATTAGGAAGGGTACATCAGGCACATCTGGTACATCAGGCACAACTGCAGATGCTGACTCTCTGCATGCAACAGAGTTAGGCATGGTCCCTAGAAATAGAAGACAAGAAATTTGGAAAAAAGCAGGGGCCAAAAGCCAAAATTACAATATCGGCACAGCAGGCTTTGATTATGACAGAGGAATTGGGATTGAGTTTTAGGAAAGGGAGAGTGCACACAGTCAACTCCTAAAAGACATGGGTGTTAGGACTGAAAGTAAAGCTTCTCAGAAGAACCTTGCCCAACAGCTTGTCCAAGATTTTGTAACTGTAAAGGGAAAGTTGTTTCTTAAGGACAATTTCATAGAAACCGAAGCTCCCTTCACTAGAAGAGATCTCCCACAATTTCTAAGCTATCTCCTCGATGAGTATGATGCAAAAGATATGCTCACTTGGTGCGATGATATCATTCCGGAAGAAGAAACATAGGTTAAGGTTGGTGGGGATCACAGTAAAAATTCGTTTAAAGCAACTCTCCAAGTAGTAAATGCACATATTCACCAAATTCTCAACACAACACTGTAGTGATAGCAATGGCATCCATGAAAGACACATATAAAAACATTCACCGATTTTTGGAAGGGGGTCTAGTCGAGGACATCGTCAGTTTGCAGTCCCACGCATGGAGGAATAAAACAATCAAAGTCTTCCTCAATGGTGACTATGATTTCCTCTGTAAAATGTTTGGGCTTTCCGGCCCACAGGGTACATACCCATGCCTGTGGTGCCTAACACCGAGGAACAGAATACATGCACAGTGTGAGGCGTTCCAGCTACGGTCACTGGATTCACTCGTAGCTGACAACAATGCATTTTTGACTGAGCAAGGTGGGGATAAAAAGGAAGCAAGCCGCTACCACAATAGTTTGCACCCACCTCTTTTGCCCATTGATCTAGATCATATGGCCCCTCCCTGTTTACACATCTTGTTAGGCATAACCTTGAAACACCACAAACTGTTAGAAGAAGCAGCTGACAAACTTGATTTAAAGATAAGTCTCCCAGTCGGGTGCCTCTGCCACTGAAGCAGGAGAAAAAGTGAAAAAATACGGTGGCCAGTGGAGGAAAGTTGACGAGCTTAAAGCTCATTTAGACATTCTTCAAGGTTATATCGTTCTTTGTCACACAGATGTGGACAAAGCACAGTACTCACAGGAGTTAGAGCAGACAGAACACATATTAGCTCAACTCTCATACCTTGAACTTACCCCTAGATCTGGTCCCATTGCTTCCAGCCTAAACAATATTCTAAAAGCATATATATCCGCAGAGAGTGGCAGATTTTACAAAATTAAAAGCCAGGCTGATGTTAATTCATTTAAAAATTGAATGAAATTTTCAATACAATTACCTTTTTCAAGGAATTTTGGTGACCAAAAGTCTGTTTACAATATGTACACTGTACATTCGTGAAAATAAAGAAAATTTAGTTACAGTGAGAGGAGAAGGTGAAGTTTATCGTATCCTAGTAAAGTAATGTGTGCTTTCATATAACGTGTTCACATTAAGCAGCGTTTAGTAGTTGCTTGCACAAACTGCACCCCCCCCCCCCCCTTCCCTAATCGGACAATCTTCGGGACAGCTGGACAAAAAATGATACAGTGGGTGTCGCATGCAACGAGGTCACATTCAACGAGAAGTTGGCTCCAACGGGGGAATCCTTAATCCCCGAGTTTTTCCTCTATATCTCTTTGTAAATGTACGTCAGCTCCAACGAGGTTGCAAACAGACCGAAGTTGCTTTCAACAAGGTCGCGATGCCTAAATAAAAGCAATTAGCAGCCCCGAGAGCAAAATATTTTTCTCCTTTCTCTCCATCTCACGCGAAGCACAAGGCCCATCCTCGATTCCTAACATATTGTATTGCTAGATCTAGTGTGCCTCCTAATATGGGCCCCAAAGCCAAGAGGATGAGCGAGGGTTGGCCTACGGTAGGGATGGGAGGGGGTGGGTGGGAACGTGATGCGGGCTGTGTGACACAGGATAAACTCTGGATGGGTAGGTCTAGATCGAGACCATTTTTTTTTCAATTTTCTTTTCTTCCCCTGATCAGAAAATCCAAGCTCCTGCCTTTTTTTTGTAGAGTAGATCTAGATCTAGGCCTAGATGTGAGAGGGTATGTTTCCACACGAGAAGTGTTCAGGAAAAAATATTTTTAAATGCAGAAATGACGGTCAGAACACAGCTCAAACACGCGTACACTGATGCTGTTAGAGATTTTCGTCATCAGGGGAACAACCGTTCTAGTTTATTGGTACAGTGGAGTCCACTTATAACGAGTCCGGAAACAACGAAAAGTCGGTTATAAAGGCACTATTCTAAAACCCCGTTTTTTTCTCTTCTTTACCTTTGTAAATAAAATACTGCTATAGTGCAATCAGACAAACACGTGAGTCGGTTATAGCGGAATATTGCTGCTGTTGTGCGTTTCGCATGGGTCAATTATACATAAATAAGTAAAACGTCGCCAGTTGAGAAACTAGTTGATGAACAAGCGAAACAAAGAATGGGAGAGCCCATGTGTGTCAACAATGAAGGCCGGAACAACTGAGTAGCGAGGGTGTGGCATGGGCAGACAAGCAGAACGTATCGTGTGATAGGCCAGCGTAAGCCTAGTTTAGATTATCAAGGCCTACCATGCCTCTCACTTCTCCGATACGGGGATGGAGAGGTCACAGCAATGTGATGGATGGAGCGAATGTGTGACGTGCGCAAGCTGACGGGATGCACCACAGGGTGTGGTGGGGTGGGGAAAAACACAGCGGGTGAGTTAGCCCAGAGCCCTTTCTTTCTGATTGCCAACACCGAGCTGTCAGTCAACATCGCTAGATCTAGTGCTAGAAAAAGAAACCTGATTCGATTTTTGATCAAGTAAGACCAAGAGGTCATGTTGAAATAAAATCATCATCAGCGGGTATAGCAAAAGGAAATAAACAGAACATCAAACTCATAGATTAGGCCTACTTTACAGTTTCTCTTGAATTTATTACTGGATCCCTTATAGCGAGAATCCTGCTATAACGGACATTTTGCTCCGGTCCCCTCCCTCACGTTATAACAGGATTCCACTGTATTGGTAATCGAGTAATATAAAAACTTGTCTCCTTTCTTTTCTTTAGTCAAGTTCACCGAGAGGTCGGATCCAACGAGGACATCAAGCCCGCCCTGGCAACCTCGTTGAATGCGACACCCACTGTACAGAGGTGTTTACGCTCTAGAGGTTCTTGGAGATCAACATCATCACCATCAAGGCCACGGACAGAACCTCCACCCCCACTACTAATTAGCCTCTTAGTTAGCTATTATACATGAAGGGCCTACTTCTATACTAAGTTCTAGATCTAGTAGTTCTACTATGTCGTCCTCAGGTCCTAACCTAACTAAAAATACACTTCTTAAGTCTAGATCTAGATCTAGATCTATACACACACCAAGCCATGTCATATCCCCTTATCATAAGTCATCATGTCATGACGCATGTGTCCATGTCTAGATCTAGATTAGATGATCTATGTGTGAATGTCTCTGTCTCTGCTGTGACTTGAATTTGAAATAGATAGGACAAGAGAACATTTTTAAAAACGAAAATAATCAACCAAAAAAGAAAGCCCTCAAAGGGTAAAAAAACGCTTTTCGACCTTCTGTCCAAGTCTCTTTCAAACAATCTGTCTTCATATCAGAGAGGATAGCAAGCAGGCTGTCTCTTTCTTCGGCAAGGGAAGAAGCGTTCCGTCGCAGGGCTTGTACTCGGTCTTCCATTTCATCTATGTAAGATAAATAGAGGAACGTATTGTCTTTCTTGTCACCATCTTGAGTTGGATCATCACAGTTATTTGAGGCCATTAAAAAACTTGTAGACTGCGGTGGTTGTGGAGATGAGAAGTCGCCCATACGCCCAGCAACCGTCTTGTCCAGTTCCTCAGAAAGGGAAAATGAAAGTAGAGGCTAGCTAGGCCCAGAGACACTAAAATATACTCTCTGCTAGGCCTAAAGAGAGACGTAAAAAGTAGTGATGAGCACAGGAAGTCTCCAGCTGTGAGAAAAAATGTATGCCCTACCTATATTAACTTTGGCAAAAGAGAGCTGGTTTCTTCGATTGTGCGATTGTGGTAAAAGTCAAACGACAATATGCAGGGCCCGCGATAGCTCAGTTGGTAGAGCGGAGGACTGTAGAGGAAATGGAGCAATCCTTAGGTCACTGGTTCGAATCCGGTTCGCGGGAGCGAAATTTTTTTCTTCGAGTTTTATTCGCATTGTGCAAACTCGAATCCATACATCCCTATTTACCC